GAGGCCTGCGGGAAGCTTCACCCTCCCGTGGCTGTTTTACCAGGTGTTACCTAGGGGTGCCGGCACCCGCCATAAGCCAGTCAGCTTTTGCACGCTTGTATTGTTGGGGAAGGAGTTGTGATCTGCAGGGCTGTCATGTGCGGAAACAGCTGTTTGCCGGAGCTCGGCTTCTTAAAATGATGGTATCAGTTGGCTGTGTCTATGGTTGGTCTTGCTGAGCTCTCTTCAAAGAGGCTCTGGTCGCTCTTGGCCGAACCAGCACATCAGAATCTTCCCTGCCGCCTCTGTGTGCAAAAATAAGTAGCGTTAAGCAGAGAAATGTCCCTGGAAGCCTGTGTTTTATATACATATAACAGAAAAGGCGTAGGCAATGCGTAAGTTGAAAAGAGTACGGAGTAACATTAGCGTGTCCTGGAATTGTGCATGGCCCTGGTCACCTGCTGAGATGGTATTGGAGGCGATGTCTTTGGGACTTGCCGCTCGGTGCTCCCCATTTTTGTCCCTTGCTGCTGTTAATATTTGCATTCAGATCAAACAACCTTGAGCAACACGTAGACCTGAGGATGGTCGGATGGCTTCAGTGGGAGAACTACTTTATGTCCAAGGGATTCTCCAATCATTTCTAAACGTGGCACCTTAAATTCAGGTTGAGGCCCTTATTTCCTAACCTTCTGTTGCCACTTCAAGGGGCTCAGCTGGCCTGGAAAGTTCCATCCTGCTTCGATTGCTGCAAAGTTTTGGTTCAGTTTGTACTGCTTCTAGGGTGTAACCCGCCCGCAGCATTCGTTGTGGCCCCCAAATGCTCCCAATCCTGTTTTCTAGTTACTGAGTTATACCCCATGCACTGTATGAGCTTCAAACTAAAACCTTGACCACAGATAAGAATTTTTTTTTTTACGTTAATCCCTTCTCTTCTACTTTAATATTGCCATAGCTTGAGTTTGTTCTATTAACAATTAAAAAGCAACCTTATAATGAACAGCTCATAGCCTCCTTTACAGCTGCAGGAATCCTGTAAGTGAATCCTACGTAGCTGTATAGACACAGAGTGATTTAGGGAGGTTGTAAGTGTACGAACGACTGCGGATTTCTGGAGCGAGGGAAAATAAACTTGTGTGGGTGGGAGGGGTTTAGTGGAGGTTTTCTGTAGCTCAGGGTCGTCACTGCTGATGGCCCAGAAGTTGCTTTAGAGAACTGTACTGCATTGGAGGGAAACTTAAAATAGAGGCTAAATTCAAAATATCCTGCTGAGGACCTATACCCAGTGGTGATCCATTAACGTGCAGCGTGGGTCAGTAGAGGCTGTGCTGTTGAATTTCCTGGTGCTGGCGGGGTTATACTGTTAGCGTGATTTGTGCGCAATAACATCTAGACTGTTTATGTAGCAGGCTGCTGCAGGTTGTTGGCAAACAGAGGTTGGTAGTGACCTTGCAAGATGGTTTTCTTTTGTCTGTAAAGCTCGTAGATTCCCTTTCATGGACTTACTCTTCAATGGTTAGAAGTAGATCCAGTGAAAAGCTCTGGCCAATGGTACCTGGCAAGGTACTGTATAAAGACCTTATACCTCTTGTTAAAACATGGTAGTCTTGTAGGGTCAGTTATGATGCTGCCTGTCTTGTCCCTGTGGATCACTGGGTTGTCCTGCTGCAATCATCTAGAGATACGGATTGTTTTTTTTTTTGATTGGGTGGACTATCTAAGGCTGGGGAAACACAAAGATTCAATAATGCTGCTTTTGGTAGCCGTATGTAGTCAGCTTTTTAAACATTTAGTTGCCTGTGTTTTGTAAGAACGAGGCCTGTCCGGACTTGCCTGAGAACTTGAAAGTTGAGTCTGAGAACTCATGATTTTGCAGCTATCGCCTGAGAGCGCAGGCTGCCAGGTGAGCGGAGGTGGGTGCCGCTCAGCCTCTGCGCCAGGGCATGCTGCTGGCAGGGGATCAAGGGATTCTTGGGTGGCTTTTCAAAAGCTGGGGAAGTGGCAGGCTGTGGGCAGGTGGAATCCCTTTTAGCGGAGGAGCCGGGTGTGAGAGAGCGCCGCTTTTACACAACGGCGTGGAATAGCTTTTCTCCTTCTCTGAAGATCGAGTTGGATGTGAAGGAGCTCTGGAAAAAATAGCTGTGGGGAGTTGGATGGGCGATAGTCTGCAAGCGTTGGGTTTTTGATATCCCTGCCTCTGTTATGATAACCAGGTGTTTCCTTCCTTAAGGATTAACCACCATCTAGCTGGTGTGTTGCATTAGTCACGATTCAGAAATGGCTCCCGTGAAAACTGACCAAGATTTTCCTGGATTTCCTGAGTTTCTTTCCTATTCTCCAAAAGAAAGTTCTTGAAAGTTGGTTTCTGCCCTTGATTATTGGAAGGGGAAAGTTTGTCAGATCTTTAGTACCATATTGGGTAAGACACTCCTCTGGCAATCCCCAAGTATCCTTAAGTTTTCAGATTCCTGATGTGTGTTGAGGATTATGTAAAAAAAAAAAAAGGGGGGGGGAGGAAGGGGGTGAGGGGGGAGTGCTTCTCTGGCATAGCATTTCCCATTGAAGCTGATGGTAAAACATTAATGCTTCAGCAATAAAGACAAGTGATTTTGGAGAATTAAAAAAAAAAAAAAGGGGGGGGGGGGCAGGAGGAGGGAGAAGGAGGGAGGGAGCATCTTGGTAGCTGAACTCACTCCAGTTTTTCAACATCCTTCTTCTGCTGAAGGGCCAAAAACTCCAAGTGGTATTTCTCTTTCCTTGTCCAGTAGACGTGTGAGCTTTGTGGACGATCGGATTTCAGCTGGTCTAAACCAGCCTGTACCTTCCCTGGACCTAGCCTGACCCATCACCCCTGCTGGGAACGTGGCCCAGCAGCATGCTTCAGCTCCTGATGCTTGTGTCCGTGGATATTTTAATGCCTTGTGACTACCCGCTGGGAACATTCGCAGTGATATGTTCTTTGGCTACGTGTCTTTGCAGAAGGATGAGATTTGTGGCGCTGTGTAATACCTTCTGGTGTACGTCAGGTCGGTTTTTCTCTGGGCAGCTGTAAGGTGCTGCAGAAGCCTCTCAAATCACAGTGTTGCAGCAAATACTGAAGAGGAAAACAGAGCTTCAGCCATCCGTGCACACCACACACACAGACATGGCAGTGATGGGAATTGCTATGGTCTTCTGCTTTAAGAAGTTGTCTTCCTTCAGGCTCCATGCTTCCTCCCTTCCTCTGTCTCCTCCCCTGAGAGCTGGCCTTATAATCAAAACACTTAAAAGCTTATTGCTAGATAGGAAAGCGGAAGGATAAAGAGAAACCTGCTTAGAAATTGGCACATGTCGTAGGAAAATATTAATTGAATTGTAATTACACCTTATCCCTCTACTCCTGTCTTTCACAACAGAATACATTAGAAGCTCAGTTCTTATCTAGGTGTTGTCTGTGTAGCTCAGGATTAATGTTTCAGCCCTTTTAGGCAGGCTCTGAAAACACATTATCTTGCTGGCTTAAAACAACTGTGTATTCTCATGTGTCTAGTACTCACTGGCTCCTTTTCCCTGTCGGGTGACAAGTGAAGTATCTGT